AATAAGCATCCCATGAAAGTGGGGTGTGAGGAGATGATAATAACAAAAAGCCATGCTCAAGAACTTTTCACCATGGAACCGCAAGGACTGTCTTTAAAATTAATTAATCTGAAAGGCCCTTCCTGTATGCAGAACAGCCAAAGCAAAGCTATGATGAAAAACATTCTTTTTTTGCTGCTTACCCAGAACTTATAGAAAAGGAATCCAACAATTAAAAAACAAGACAGGCAGGGCCCAGTGGCTCAAGTCTGTAATCTCAGAACTTTGGGATGAGACGAGAGGATTGCCTGAGTTCAGGGGTTTGAGACCAACCTGGGCAACTTTGTGAGACCTTGTCTCTGCAATAAATAAAAAACTAATAAACTGGGTGTGGTAGTGCCCGCCTGTAGTTCCAGCTACTTGGAAGGCTGAGGCAGAAGAATTGCCTGAGCACAGCAGGTCGAGGCTGCAGTGGCTGTGAGCATGCCACTGTACTCCAACCTGGGTGACAGAGTGAGACTCAAACCCAAAAAATAAATAAATAAATACACTAAATTAAATACAAGACAGTGTATCATAAGCTAATTAAGCCTGTAGCCCATAAGGAGTTTGGAGGCGGGCCCTCACTGTGATCTGCGGTGGTCAGGATGAGTGGTGTGAAGTATTAAAGGATTATTAGAAAGGAAGAAGAAGGAAATGAATGGGTGGAGTTGTCCATAAAATACCCATTGCTTGAAAAAACAATGAGTAGCTAGGAATAAACACCAGGAGCAGCTGTAGATCAGCATGTTTCAAAATGTGCATTGACCACGTGGGTAGATCACATACCACATCGTTCTGAACTGAGGACTCAAGGCATCTTGGTTCTTGGTCTTCTTTATCCATGAGGCACTCTGGATAAGTTATTAAGCTTCTTTGAGTTTCTGTTTACCTATGAAAAGAGAGGATTGGATGAGCTTAACAGTTTCTGCACTTCTGGGACAAGTAAACTTCTATGAACACTGAACAAATTAATTTCTTATTAAGGTCAAAACCAAACCTAGCAAAATAACAACCTGCCATATGCTATCATAATCATTTTAAAACTAATGTATATTTAAAAGTAGAAATGGAAGTTGAGGCAAGAACTAGTCTCAGAAAAGTGTGTGTGTGTGTGTGTGTGTGTGTGTGTATGTACGTGTGTGTATGTGTATGTATGTGTGTGTGTGCGTGAAGAGAATTTACATTAAACTAAACTAATAGTTGCTTTATTTATTTATTTAGATGTAGACTGACAAATCCTCATCATGGAATCTACCTGATCATCATTTGGGAGCCATAGGCTAACTGATATTTAAGGGTCCTTTCTTTGCGACATTCTGAGAATTCACAACTGGGGTAATTTCCCCATTATACTTGCCTATTTTCTTTGAGCAAGCTAGTTAATACTCTAATGTCTTGTCTATCCCTTAAATATACAGGATTTTACTGAGTCTGACGTGAAAACAGTTCTTTCTGGGGATACATATACCAGAAAAAGATACCATGTTGAAAGTGAGGAGAGATGTCTTCTAGTTCACATTTTGTCATCCCTAGTTAGATAAGCTTGTTCATGTCATTAAGTCTTTTTAAAAATTCATCTAAAAAATGAAATGATCATACTGCCTTCACTATCTCATTGAGTTGTTGTGAGGTAAATAAGAGCATATTTTCTGATTGTGAAATAAACTCTAAAACTATGCCATATATTAGTACCAACATACTAATATATGAAGTATCCCAAAGAGGTATGAATTTGCTAGTAATTTAGAGCAGATTGTAGAATCATAATTTCAGTCATTAAAATGACTCTCCAGGAACTAAACTGCAAATATTACAATCCTGAAGATAGCATATTTTTATTCTAAATCTTTAAAAATAAAATGCATCTAATTTACCTCAAGTAATTCCTATTGTTATAAAATTTTAGGGTGAAATATAATCAAAACTTGGCAGTCATCCAGACACATCTGAAATTTTATCTGCAATTTGACAATGACCAAATGCTAAGAACGTTGCTAGAATTTAAGTTCCCCAGTTACTAAAAGTAAGCATAAGCGGAAATAAGACTGACAAAAAAGCCCAAGAAGTAATTATAAAATGTAGTAACTATATTCCAAATGAAAGGAAATGTGTCTCTTCTTGTTGGAGACCACTAATCATCAAAGATTTGGCAGAAGTCTACTACTACTAATTGCATGAAATTAGCAAATTGACATTTCTGAAAATGGCAATGATTCTGATTGCATGGTGTCGTTAAATATCCTCCTACAAGGTAACTTTTCTGGTATTTAACTGTTCATCACTGAAAACACTTCACTTTTGTTATTTCTATGGAAACTGTGTCTCTAGTAAGTTCTATATTTATGTAACATATTTCTGTAAGTTCAGAATCACCTGTATTTTGATATTTAAATTTATAATGATAGGTAATCACTGAATTAAGAACAAGACTTTTATTTCCCACTATCAACAGAACAGTGTTATTGTCAACAAAAAGTTATATGGAAATAACTCCTAAGTAGGTGATAACAGATATGCTTTCTGCAATTTTCATTAAAAAATGAAGATAGTTGAATTATGACTAACATGGTGGTTTACAAATATATGCTTTTATATTTGTAATGTTATCACTCTAACACAGCAGTTACTACACCCTATTGTAACTTTAATGGACAACTGTAGATTAAATTATATTTTCTATGGGAATGTGGGCAATATCTCTCTTGTTCCTATGTCCCCATGATCACATAAATTGACAGTGCCTGGGCAGAATTCAACAAATGTTAATTGAATTAATGAAACAATGCTCTTTAGTACTTTAAGTCTCAGATATGATGGAAAGGTTGCTTCTACCGAGGGTTAAAAAACATTTTTCATTTATTTTATGCAATCTTAAAATATAGAAATAATCATATTAATTTGAATTTATAGAATATCAAATTTTTACTTATATCCTACATCGGTATGGAAGAAAGCCCATGGAAGAGAAAAGAGTAAAAATCTTCATTTAATATTTCTCCATTCATATTCATAATGATTTATGCAAAATGATATACCTTTTGAATATTAGTTCATCTTTATACATCTAATTGAATGACTATGGAAACAAACATTTTTAAAAGATCGTGTATCCTTTTTTATTCAATGTGCTTATAGTTTTGGGTTTTTTGTTTTGTTTTGTTTTGAGTTGGAGTCTCACTCTGTCGCCCAGACTGGAGTGCAGTGGCACTCTCCCGGTCACTGCAGCCTCAACCTGCTGGGCTCGGCGATCCTTCTGCCTCAACCTTCCACGTAGCTGGAACTACAGGTGTGCGCTGCCACGCCCGGCTAATTTTTTTTTTTTTTTTTTTATTGTAGAGATGAGGTCTTGCGAAGTTGCCAAGGCGGGTCTTGAACCCGCGGGCTTAGGCAATCCACTCACCTCAGCCTCCCAAAGCCCGGATTACAGGCTGAGCCACTGAGCCGGGCAATGTGCTTATAGTTATAAACCAAAAACAGTAACTCAATTAGTTAGACCTTCATCTAAAGTCCAAAAGTAATGTGTTATAAAATCAATTTTAGAGAAGTTACACTACCAAATTATTTTATTTGAGTTTAATTAGCCATGTATCTATTGATCATAAAATATCAACTAACGTTGATATTGTTTTGGCATTCCAATTAAAATGTAAAGAACTGTTCTTCCAAAAGCTTGGGCAAATTTTCAGTTTCTTGATGCAACTACTTGGTTACACGTTTATATAATTTTAAGTGGAGATCTGTGACAGTGTTAGGTTTGTCAAAAAGACCTTTAAATTTGATAATTTGTCTAGACAGAGTATTTATGTAGGTATGTACAGATTTACAAAGCACTCATATTGAACACTTATCAAAGAAATTACTTTTTAATACAAGAACAAAGTAAAGCATAATGTGTCCTGAGAGATTTGAGGCAGGCCCTAACAAATGTAAATTCCCCTCTTATACAGAAGAGTAATTGCATGAGGAAAATATCATTCGGTTTATGATTAAAGGAAAAAATTCATTTGAACTGACTGGAAGAGATAAAGCAAACCTTTTTTTTTTTAAATTTAGATTTGGGAGTATTCAAACCTAAATTATGTGGACATATTGTATAGTGGAGGAGATTGGGTATCAGGTGACCCATACCCTGATAGTGGACATTGTGCTCTGTAGGTAGTTTCTGAACCCTAACCCCTTTTCCCCTGCCCCTTATTGGTATCCCCAGTGTCTATTTTTCTCTCTTTGTGATGGTTTAGCTCCCACATATGAGTGAGAACATGCACTGTTTGACCTTCTGTTTCTGAATCAGTTTACTTAGGATGATGATCTCCAGCTCCATCCATGTTGCTGTAAAGAACATGATTTCATTATTCTTTATGGCTGAATAATATTCCATGGTATATATACACCACATTTTTATTATCCACTGATCAGTTGATGAGCATTTAGGCGGAGTCCACATCTTTGCAATTGTGATCTGAGCTGCCATGAACATGCGGATACTGGTGTCTTTTTTATATAATGACCTCTGTTCCTCCAGGTGGATACCTAGGAGTGAGATTGCTGGATCAGATGATAGATCTACTTTTGGTTCTTTGAGTAATCTCCTTATTGCTTTTCTGAGAGGTTGTATTAGTTTACACTCCCACCAACAGTGTATAAGTTTCCTTATCTCCACACCTGCCCCAGCATCTGTTGTCTTTTGATTTTTTTAATAATGATAATTCTGACTGGTGTAATGTGGCATCTCAAAAAATGTCCAACATCATTCATAATCAGGTTAATACAAATTAAAACCACAATGAGATAAAGCAAACATTTTAGAATACAATTAATGTCATTTTTAGAAGAAGAAACGTGTTTCTGATAAAACTATCATTGCAACATTGATTTCTTGGTGAATACGCCCTTGGGATTCTGTAATCGTGTACACCCTTGGGATTCTGTAATCGTGTGTCTTTTTTACTCACCATGCATTCCTTTGACTCCTATGTTAGGCCTGGACAAAGTGCCAAAGGACCTTCCTCCTGACACAACGCTGCTGGACCTGCAAAACAACAAAATAACTGAAATCAAAGACGAGGACTTTAAGAACCTGAAGAACCTTCATGTAAGAACCATTTTATTTTATTTTTAGTTACAAGATATGATTCAAAGTATTTTTCAAAACAAAACCTAGGTAAAGCCAAGCATTCTGTATGGGAATCAATAAGCACAAAAGTGTTTCTTAGGTTCTCTTTTTGGTGGTGGTAGGAAAGCAAACATTGTATTCATTAACTGCTAAAAACAATTTTCTCACATGTACCACATATATCTTAAGTAGTTGCCTCATAAAAATATTTTATATATTAATCCTCTCATATTTTCATGACTGAAAATTATTACCATACCAATTAGATTATACTTTAAGAGTGGAGCATGAACATCCAACGTAATACAATAAGAAAATGACTGACAGTGGTGGGAAACTATGGGGGGGAGGAGAAGAGAGATGTGATTAATGGTAGTAAATATCTGTCTGGGGATGGGGAGACACCTCTTATCAACTAGGGTGCCTGAACGAAGCATATTTGTGTACCTAACCCTTAACTGTACCCCACAATATCATAATAAAAAATATTGATTAAAAAAAAAAAGAGTGGAGCAGAGCACAAGACAGATTGAGTTTAGTATTGTTTAAATTGTTTATTTCTTTCATTTTTTTCTTCCCCTCATTTTCTGAAATGTGAATGACCTTCTGAGGTCTCAAAGATAGGCATCAAGAGAAAAAGGAATAATCATTTATATTTGAGTAAATATAATTATATATATATTTCTTGCTTTATACCTAGAATTACCATGCATCTTTATCTGTGTTTTTGTTTTTCACTTATATCTATTCTATTATAATGTCCATTAGTCTATTCTATTATAATGTCTATTGGTCAAGAGTCTATCACAGAAGAGATAGGTGGCACTCTCAAAAGGATTTTGTAGAGGAGGCTTTACTGAAGGAACTATTGCAAAAATGAGTGGGAACCCAACAAAGCATTGTGGGGCACCCAGATCCCCAAAGTCTGAAGGGTCCCAGAGCCACAGAAGAGCTGGGGAGCTGTAGTCCCACCTCTAATTTTCTGTGTCTCCCATGACTGTATCTACTTGGAGGCCAGAACACGCGGGCATTTGGTTGATGCAGTCCACAGAAGTCAGTCTCCTAGGACACAAAGAAGGGCCAGAAAGGGCAAAGAATGGCTATAGCTGTAGTTGGGACAGGGCATGTTATACAAGGATAATGACCAACCAAATCAGATGGGATTAAGCCTTGCTAAGGCAACCTTCTGTGAGAACACCAGAATCATGATAGAATACATTATCTAAAAGAACTCTTTCTTGTGGGTTGAGTGTGATGTGGCCTGGGACTCAAAATATCAGTGCATATTTATATACATAAGCCATACTTCAATGTCCAAAATACACACTGTGAACAATTCAGTATCTATATTCCATTCTGGTAGGCCACATGTGAAGTATTGAGTCTGGTCCCCGGCAAGTCATTTTAAGAAGGGTAATAAAGACATCCACAGAAGGATGATTATGGGGATAAGAACCTGGAAATCATATCTTATTGACCCAGTTGATGGAGCCATGGATATCTAATCTATGTAAAGGATCATTAGCGACATATTTGAAGGGCCATGTTGGAGAAGAGGAATTGCATTTGCTTGCTTTCAAGTACAAAATGGCAGAGTTGTCCTAGTGAGAAGAAGTTTCAGTGAAGTGGATTTGTTTTTGAGTTGGAGTCTCACTCTGTCATGAAGTAGATTTTTATTCAGCACAAAAATGAAATTCAAAGAGTTAGAAGCTTTAGAAAATGGCCAGATGGTGATGCGTGCCTATAATTTTGGAGACCGAGGCAGGAGGATTGCTTGAGGTCAGGAGTTTTAGACCGACTTGGGCAACATAATGAGACCCTGTCTGTACAAAAATTTTAAAAAGTTAGCTGTGTGTGATGGTACACTCATGTAGTCCCAGTTACTTGGGAAGCTGAGAAAGGAGGATAGCTTGAGCCTCGGAGTTCGAGGCTGCGGTGAGCTATGATCGCACCACTGCACTGCAGCCTGGGTGACAGAGTGAGACTCTGTCTCTAAAAAATAAAAATATAAATTTCTGAAAATGGAAAGAATTCCCTAATGATACATTACCTACCATGGAGATACGAATGTCATGGGAATACATTCTAAAGTTTGGAAGAATAAGCATAGTAAATTCTAATTTCAAATCCATTTTTTTTCTAGTCATTACTGAGAATAATTGAGGGGGGTGTATAGTAAGAATAGGCAATACATGGTAAACTATAAATATAAAATTAAAAAGTTGGCTGCTGTATGGTAGAATAAAAAATATAGATGCTAGGGAAATAGTGTAGTATAGAATAAACTGACCATAAGTATTAGAGTTAATATTACCAAGATAAAATTTAGTTACCAATTTTTTGACAGCCAAGATGAGAATAAAGGTAAACATTAATCCATTAGGAGAAAATATTCAGATTTTTAAATAAAGCAAAAATTTTTCTCTAAGATTTTAATATTCTACATGGCACAGTTTTTAAAAAAATTGCAGATAATACAGTGTCATGGTCTATTTTTTGATATGTTCAACACTATAAGCACAATATGATATAAGAAAAATTAGACATCATAATATATCCAGTTACTAGCTAGTGTTTGAGAGAATATGAGACATAAGTGTTTTAGAGAATTAGAAGTTTGAAAGGCAGAGAGAAAAATAGAGGGCCTTCTGGAAAAGAGGAAAGCAAAGTAGAAGAAAAGAAATAGACAAAAAAAAAAAAAATACAGTCTGACTAGAGTGAAAGATACAGGCTCCAACCTTGGACCTCTTTCCACTGAGAGGATACTAGGCCTGAGCAAGTACTATACCGGGATACAAAAAAAAAAAAAAAAAAAAGTCTACTCATTTCAAGAGATGTCATCTGTGTGTTACTTTTAATCTACCATAATCGGAAATGTCTGATGGCAAGCACTTTGAGCACCTCTTGTAATTGCAGAGGTCAAACATGACTAGTATTCATCCTTTGTTATTCGTATATATTGAGCATTGCAATTTTAATACAGTTTTTTTCTTTCTTAAAATGTGTGTACTTTTTTTGGCACCCTCTGTATATACTAAGTACTGTTCTGCACTGTATACTAGTACTACTCACCAGCTCTCTCCTTTCATCTTAATGTCTAACTTGGATTAGCTGATGGTGAAACCAACAAGATTTGTCAATGACTATTTAAACTATCATTGGAAAACGTTTTAAGAGGAGACCATATAAAAGGAATATCATTACATTCAGTAAACTAAAATATTTTTAAAAATTTATTTGCATACATTTACCCTAGAGCTATTTTTAAGGATGAAAAATTCTTAGTCTAATCTTAACTTCCTATACATTTAAGTATAATCTCAATGATAAAAAAACACAAGACTTCTATATGATTAAATAAAAGACATCTATTTTCCATGATGGTTCTCATTAAAACTGGCATTTGTAATAATGTGTCCTTTCTTTACCCACATCTCCTTCCAAGTATGTTTTTAGGCAGCCATCATCTTGACAATCTCTTTCTTTCTACTTCAAAATACATATCATCAGAAGAAGGCAGAGAGTTTATTAGAGTTAACAACCATTCAGAGGATGTTAAACAGCTGTTTTTCTCTTACTCTTTCATTCATGATCACTTCTATCCCTGTTATTATGCAAATAAACATCAGAATTTCAGTAAGGAAAGCTACACTTGAATGGAGAAGGAAGGGGAGAAGTAAAAATTTAGCAAGGATTAAGATAGAAAGGATTTCATAGAAACATGTTTCTTTATTCTCCAAACATTGTATCTATTTACAATTCTATGGCTCATTATAAATAGTAGTCTTATGTATAGTAGGAAAAATACATAATTGTCCTGTAAAACAATGGAAAACAAAGTGTGGTAACAGTCAATGTATTTTTTGAATTGAAGTTAGTAAATCTAGTAAGAAAGAGAGGTTCATTGGAAGTCAAAAAATTATCAAAGACTAAATAATAGCAAACACTTGTTTAGTAGTTACTATATACTAGGCACTGTATATAGTCATTTATTTAATCCTTATAACTACTCTTGTGAGATTGACATCCTTGATTGACTCTATATGCAGAAGAGAAAACACAGTCACAAAAAAATTAAGTCATTTGCTCGTAGTCACATACCAAATAAGAGCCAGAGCTTGAGATTCAAAACAGAAGTCTGGCTTGAGTATATGCATTAATAATTGCTAATAAGTATCGTTGTAACTGGAAAAGCCCTCAGAACAATACTTGTCACAGTGCAAGTCTTATGTAAGTGGCTTTGGAGACAAATGTATATGATATTAAAAGTCAGTTATCATAATACTGCAAGAAAAGGATTGGCAATAGTGGGAAACTGCCAGGAAGGGAGCAGGGAAGCAGGATTGGCAGTAGCAGTAGCGGGAATCTGCCTGGGGAAGTGGCAGGCACACCTCGTCAACAAGGATAGCTGCAAATGAACATCTGTATACTTAACCCTGAATTGTACCCCACATCTTGAAAATAAAATTAAAAGAAAAAAAAGCTGGAAAAATAAATAAATAAATAAGAAAAAATTTCAATATTTAACATAAACCATTTTTTGGATCATGTCTAATACACTTAACTATATCAAGCTTTCTAAATTTCCCACGTGTGGCAATTCAGCATGTCTTTTGCATTTTTCATTAATGATAAGCAATTTTACGTGTCTTGTAATTATACAAGTCACCTTATGCTCTTGCTCTTCTGACTGACTTTTCCCTGATCTTTTTTTGTTTGTTAATGTCAGTTTCCTATGACTTTAACCCCCATATGTTTTTTAAATTTCATTAATATTCATCATTGAAATCTCTTAGGATTTGTGTTAATCAACCAATGCATCTTTCAGGATTAGTCAAAAGATTACATTGCTTAGTAAGAAGTTTTAATTCTTCAAATAATGTGATCTACATGAGGATGTACACAGGCAAATTAACCAGCTATTATCTTTGGAAAACATCCTTGAGTTTCTGAGATTGAAAATCCTCACTGTCCCATTACTTCAGGTCAATTTCTGCCCCTCTACATTCTCAAGTATGCAAAAAAGTATACTGCAGTTGAAAATACAAGTTTCGAGTACCCGAGCCTGGGGCCACCTCACTCTCCTGGCCTCTGTTTCTCTCTCTGTCTTTGTCTCTGTCTCTGTTTCTCCATCTTCCTCTCTCCCTGTCTGTCTGTCTGTCTCTCTCTCTCTCTCTCTCTCTCTCTCTCTCTGTCTCTGTCTCTCTGTCTCTCTCTCGGTCTCTCTGTCTCTGTCTCTCTGTCTCCATCTCTCTGTCTCTTTCTACCTCTCTTTCTGTTTCTATCTTTCTGTGTCTGTCTCTTTCTTTTTTGGGGGAGGGGTTGGAATCTCGCTCTGTCACCCAGGCTGGAGTGCCATGGGCATGCTCACAGCCACCGCAGCTTCGACCTGTTGAGTTGAGTGATACTTCTGCCTCAGCCTTACAAGGAGCTGGAACTACAGGCGCACGCCACCACGCCGGCTAGTTTTTGTGATTTATTGTAGAGATGAGGTCTCACCAAGTTGCCCAGGCTGGTCTCGAACCCCCAGGCTCAGGCAATCCTCTCGCTTCGGCCTCCCAAAGTGCTGGGATTGCAGGCTGAGCCACTACATCTGACTGTCTCTGTCTCTTTCTGTCTCCTCTATGTCTCTGTCTCTTTGTGTCTGTCTCTCTCTGTCTCTTTGTACCTCCATCTATGTCTCTGTCTCTCTGTCTCTGTCTTCTTCTGTCTCCATCTGTGTCTCCCTCTCTAAAAAAAAAAGAAAGAAAGAAAATACAAGTTTCTCAGATCCTAGTCAAAGTTTTTTAAATTCCTTATAATTAATTGATGTTTACTTTTAAAATGGTGTGGTTCTGTTAAATATAGACAATTGCAACAGAACAAAATAGTCCAAAAAATAGGTTTAGCAGTTGCAATTGATGTAACAATAATGAATTAGAGGAAATGTCTTTTTATTTTATTTAGAATTGTGGAGGTACATGTGAGGCTTTGCTACATAAGTAAATTGTGTGATGGCAGGCTTGGACTTCTGTCAAACCCTCCCACTCACAGTTGGGCATGGTATCCAGTGGGTGCTTTTACACCCCTTATTCACTCTTCCTCCTTCCCTCCTTTAGCGGTGTCCAACATTTGTTTTCCTTTCCTTGTGCTTGTGTGCCCAATATTTAGTGCCCACTTATGAGTGAGAACATGTGGTAATCAGATTTTTGTTTCTGTGATAGTTCACCTAGAATGATGGTCTCCAGCTGCATCCATGTGCTATAAGATGTGATTTTGTTCTTCTTTATGGCTGCATAGTATTCTGTCATGTATAGGTACCACATTTTCTTAATCTATTTCACCATTGATGGACATCTGGGTTGCTTTTATTCTTTTGCTATTGTGATTTATACACTTGTTAAATAAAGGAATAATATCTGCTTAATTTTTTCTGATTTCTTACATTTTCCAGATTTCTCTGCTAGTCCCGTCAATGGAAAACATAGACTGTGTACTTATTTTCTATACATGTGGAAAGTCTTGGATTTAAGGAGATGTTTTTGTGCACTATCTACAGGCATTGATCCTTGTCAACAACAAAATTAGCAAAGTTAGCCCTGGAGCATTCACCCCTCTGGTGAAGTTGGAACGACTTTATCTGTCCAAGAATCAGCTGAAGGAATTACCGGAAAAAATGCCCAAAACTCTTCAGGAGCTGCGTGCCCATGAGAATGAGATCACCAAAGTGCGAAAATCTGCATTCAATGGACTGAACCAGATGATTGTCATAGGTACAGATATTTTATAGCTTTGAGACCAGGATTCAAGGTTCACCTTAAGAGATTTCAAGTAAGCTTTACGTGCGGAGAGGCAGTTATGGGCCTGGAACCTATACAAATTACAGTAGCAGGGCCAGGAGAAATGGAATTTTGAATCTGTAACATACAATAATGTTTCAATTCCCTGTCCTTGAGGATCTGAAAATATGGAGGAAGCGCTAGGGCTGAAGTTACTCAATTGAATGCCCAGTGTTAGGATGGATTTAAGCAGTGCCTTACTAGAGGTATTTTGAGTATCTTTCCGTTGTGGTGATTTGCTGTGTTGTGAGACTCCATAAATCATTTGCCTTTTAAAAAATGTGTTACAGCCAGGCTCGGTGGCTCAGCCTGTAATCCCGCGCCTTTGGGAGGCTGCGGTGAGTGGATTGCCTGAGCCCGCGGGTTCAAGACCCGCCTGGGCAGCGAGACCTCATCTCTACAATAAATTAAAAAATCAGCCGGATGTGGTAGCACATGCCTGTAATTCTGGTTACTTGGAAGGCTGAGGTGGAAGGATCGCGGGAGCCCAGCAGGCGAGGCTGCGGTGGCCAGGAGCGACCACTGCACTCCAGTCTGGGCGACCGAGTGAGACACCAACTCAAAAACAACAACAACAACAAAAATGTGTTATAGTGGTTTGCTAAATGTAAGGCCAAAAATTGTAATTTTATTATTGGCTTAAAAAATGCTAATTCAAATAACTTAGCAACATTTTATTTTTTCTTTCAGTGAAATTTTTTTTTATTATTCAGCATTTTTTCTTCAGTTTCTTAAGGTTTAATTTACATAAAATTGTACATTTTAAGGTGTACATCATAATGTTTTGATATTTGTATACATTGTGTAATCATTAAATCAAGCAAATTAACATGTCCAACGCTTCACATATACATCATTTTTTTGTGGTGAGAACATTCAAGATCTACTATCTTAGAAATCTTTAAGTAAACATTCCATTATTTTAACTATAGTCACCATGCTGTACATTAGATCTCAAGAACTTATTCTTCTTAACTGAAACTTTGCATGCATTGACCAACATTTCTCCCTATTTGTCAACCCCTTCTCCCCACAGCCTCTGGTAACCACCATGTTACTCTATGCTTCTGTTTGGCTTTTTCAGATTCCACATGTGAAATTAACTTAGCAGCATTTTTGAGTATATTAGGAAAGTAATAAATAGAATAAGATATAATTTGGTAATAGTTGGTTTGGTTGATTTCTTGGCATTTGCACCTGAACTAATCGTATTGTTCTTGTTTTTGCTACTAGTAATCTTTTTTAAAAAATTTATAATTGTTTGTGTGACTTTTATTTGCTTTCATAAGGGAATTTTTATTCCATTTTGCTATTCTTCTGAGAAGTAAGCCATTTAGTTTTGCCTTTGTTTTTCTGTCAAGTTTTTATTGATCCAAATTTCTTTCTAGATTCCTCATATATGTAGACACTCCTCTGAGTGGTAATATCCTAATTTCTCTAAAAGCCTTGTCCTTATTGCATTTGTAGAGCTGGGTACCAACCCGCTGAGGAGCTCAGGAATTGAAAATGGAGCCTTCCAGGGAATGAAGAAGCTCTCCTACATCCGCATTGCTGATACCAGTATCACCAGCATCCCTCAAGGTGACAGACAATGCTCTAAAGCATTTTGGAAAGTCCAAATCCAAAAGCTTTGCCATTTTACAAAAATTGAAGTGAAAATATGAATTGTGACCCAAATGGTCAACCTTATTTTCAACAAATTTTCTGTTCTTGGAAGTGTTTCCACTGAGCATGGTGACCACATAGCCATCCAGGCTCACTGTAGACATGAACCTTCCAGGCTCACTGTAGACTTCTAGAGGCCCCTTTAAGATGTAAATTAATGCACAATGATTTTATATTATAAAACTGTGATATCACAAGGAAAAATTTACATTTATTTTTACATTTGTTTTTAAAATAGCATGCCTTGGCACTTGGTTTTAAAAAATGATATATGGAAGTACCTCTGATATTGAGCAAATTTTTACTTAGAGTCTTCAGTTCCTTAGAGAATTCTCTTCCTTTTTAGAATATTCAAAGTATTAATATTTGAATGAGCAGAACTAGGATTCGTTCTTAATAGTGGTGGCTGTACGTTTTAAAGTGTGTAAATTTGGGAGTCAATTTGCTTCAGTTCAAACACCACTTATTGCCTCAAAGACCTTGGATAAGTTATTAATCTGTACCTTGATTACTTTGTTTCTAAAGTAGAATTAATGTTACTACCTACTTCATAGGTTTCTTTTTAAATGAAATAAATTGTTAGAGGAGAATTTAGCATATAGATAAGTAGGGGATTTTATTGCCTCCTGTTATTCATTAAAAATGGTTTGAACGCTGGGCTCGGTGGCTCAGCCTGTAATCCCACGCTTTGGGAGGCTGAGGTGAGTGAATTGCCTGAGCCCGTGGGTTCGAGACCTGCCTGGGCAACTTGGCAAGACCTCATCTCTACAGTAAATCAAAAAATCAGCCGGGCGTGGTAGTGCATGCCTATAATTCCGGCTACTCGGAAAGCTGAGGTGGAAGGATCACCGGAGCCCAGCAGGTCGAGGCTGCGGTGGCCGGAAGCGGCCACTGCACTCCAGTCTGGGCGACAGAGTGAGACTCCAACTCAAAAAAAAAAAAAAAAAAATCTATATCATTCTCCATATATGCATGCACGTCACCCATCTCCTGGTGATATTCTTTTGCACCACTCATGGAAACGAAAAGACAGTAGAATTTAGTGTCTAGATTATAAAATCATACTCTCAAGAGTGACCAACCTGGGTGAGAGACCTAACTCAACCACTTAGTTGTTCTGTGACTTCAGAATAATCATTACACCTTTCTAAGACCTCAGTTTTGTTATCTGTAAAATAGAAATATTGACGCATCTTCTAGGGTTATCATGAGGATTTCTGGATATAAGTAAGGCTTGTAATGTATACCCACAATATCTGGCCCAAAAGTAAGCCTCAATATATTTTATCTTCCAAAGGGAAGTAGAGAAAGAAATAATGAAAGTAACTAAAGTGTGGTTTCTTTAGCTAAATGCCTCAGTGACAAAGATTAATGACGCTCTTTATAAATTTGCCTCTCTCTGTTCTGTTGCAAAGTTTTCCTTGACAAACTTCTTCCTGGCTATAACTTAACTTTTGGGAAACTGACACCCCAAAGGAGAAGGCACTTAGAAACTAGATAAGAGTAACAAATATGATGATAATTGACATAGTAGAGGCAACACATTTAAAGAAAAAATCTTTTCATGGTGACAGGGAAGAAAAGATGTATATTAAATATGTTTTGTTATATATTCACTTGCTTTACTTTTGAAAGTATTTAAAAATTGATATGTATTTGTTCTAAAGAGAATAAAATGTTAGAAATTCCTTATTCCTAGAGTGATCGTGATTTTCTAATACTTATAAGAATAATGCAATTGTTATTTCCTTTCCTGCAGTTATGAGCATGCTATTTTAACTTCCTTTGGTCAACTGAAAGCACATTTCATTCCCTACTTAATAGATATATAGTCTACAGACTTTGTAACTTTCAATCCCTGTTTCATTTTCTATCAAAGGGGATTAATGATCAATCATTTATACACTGAGAGAATTAAACAACTTGAATTAGGAAAAGTGCTAAGATCGATATCTGGTGCATAACAGATACCCAAAAGTAGACGTTCCTTTTCTTAGCATCTCCCACACAAAACATACAACCATAGAGAAACTGCTAACCATTCACATAAAAAAACGGACTAGACAATTACATTAAATAGACAATATTGACAGAATTCAGTGGAATGTTATGAAAATTTCAGACCCAAAGTAACCTGTGATTTTCCAACTCTGTATTTTTACAGATAAATAACCAAGACTTTCTGTCAGTCAGATATCAGCTCTACCCATAACCTGTTTGCTATTTTCCTTATATTTGTTGCTGTTCTTTTAAATGGAACAATATGCTATTTGAAAAGTTATGTATTATATAATACATCCTCAAACGGCAGGAGGAAATTAAAATAAAATATTCAAACTTTTATATTTACATTACTCAATCTTTGGAAATCATAGTCATTCAAGAAGTACTTTCCAGAGGTTTAGTGGGTACTTTGGGTCTAAAATTATTTCCCCAGGTGCTCTACATATGGAGATCACTTGATTAGAGTCCTCTGTCCTTCTCTTGTATAAAGAAACATTTTGGATTTAATAGGTATAAGTAAACTTTAGCTCTTTCACAGACATGTTACAGAGACATCTGAATTTTTTTTTTTCCTGAGTTGGAGTCTCATTCCTTTGCCCAGGCTAGAGTGCACTGGCCTGCTCACGGCCACTCCAGCGTCGACCTAGTGGGCTCCTGTGATCCTTTCACCTCAGCCTTCCAAGTAACTGGAACTACAGGCACACGCTACCATGTCCAGCTAATTTTTTGATTTATTGTAGAGATAAAGTCTCACCAAGTTGCCCAGGCTGTTCTTGAACTTGTGGGCTCAGGCAATTCCCTCACCTCTGCCTCCCAAAGTGCTGGGATTATAGGCTTGAGTGCCTGGCCAGCATCTAAAAATTTTATGGAAGGCTAAGTCCAGCACAGTATATGAATATTAGCTATTATTGATGCTCATCAATGAACTAGCTGGTTAAATTTGTATATTAGTTTAACTTATATATAATGTCTTCCTCATAGTTTAAATACTTATCTCTCCATTTTTAGCTACTATCTATCTCAATATCATTGTTAGTCCATTAACAGAGATAGAAGAGAATAATGAGAGTCAGGGTCTGACTTCAGTTCTAACTTGGAAGGATGACAATATACTATTTGATAAATGATCCCCAAGTTTTTGTTCAAGTCAATCTAAAGGAATGTGGCAAGGCCTTGTCCTACCTCTAAAATTGTATATTACTATAAAAAAGATGAAGGAAAAAGATGAAAAGAAAAACTGATTCTTGGAAACTGTATGTCTGAGAAAACTGATGGCCTGGGTCCTCATTAAGCTCTTTCACATTCCATGTTCATAATGTCTATCTGCTAATGTAGCATCTTGCCTTTCCATTTTCCAGGTCTTCCTCCTTCCCTGACTGAATTACATCTTGATGGCAATAAAATCAGCAGAGTGGATGCAGCTAGCCTGAAAGGACTGAACAATTTGGCTAAGTAATCATATTCTTTTGTGTCATTCTATCAAAACAGTGGTTAGGAGTAGTAATGCCATTAAAACTAAATGAAACACATAATGATTGATTAACATTTAAAAGAAAAATTAAAGCTGCTAAGTTAGTTGATTCAATTAACATTTTAAAGAGAAATCTGAATTTCTATTGACTTTTTCTAAGTATATTAGCTCTTTAAGCCTCTGTTTGATACAAAACATATGACATCAACATGAAGGTACAGAATCTCCAAATCTCCATGCCACTTTCAGTACAAAATAATTTTTCTGAAAGGGCACACATATTACAAATTTTCTGTATTCAAAACCTTATGATATTGCTTATTGCTACTATTATTACTACTGCTACTAATCATCCAATAGTAACCTTCTACATATTATAGCTCAAGGAAAAACATGAAGGCCGTTGCCAGGACATTGCAGCCATCGCCGGGACATTGCCTTGCTAAGCTATGGTGTGGCCATGTACTCTTTGAGCTATGGTTGGGTTGTGTTTCCTGGCTTCGGCCCTCTCCCCTACCTTGGGGAGGTGAATCTCCGCTTTTTCTCTCTTTCTCAAATTTACTTTCTAAATAAACTATATTTTTTAATCTAAAAAATGTGAAGATTCGTTTATGACTGTACCTTATTTTTTGCTGTTGTTTCTAACTTCGAATTTCAGTATATTTCTTGAAAAATCATTGGTTGAGAAAGTCAATGAAATAGTACACTATAACCACCAAGATCAGCTTCATATTTGTGAATACTGTATGTGAATACTGTATTATTTTAAAGTTAGCTATATTTTACGTACAAGATATTCGATTGTCAGTATGTGCATTTAATATATCCTATTTGCATTAAACAGAAGATTAAGCAAATTATACATGTCCAGAATATGAAAATGCATTAAAAAGAGAGTTACTATGACATGAACTATCAAATGTCACACAGAGTCCTGTTAGAATAGTTATAATGAGATTCTCTACTCTCCTTTTTGAAGAGTTAAAATGTCTCTGAATATTTAATGTAGGCCAAGAAAATGATTTTTTACAAAAGTATTATTGTTGCTTTCCTGATTTATTTTATTATTATTATGTTTTGGTTAGAGTCTCACTTTGTCACCCAAACAGAAGTACAGTGGCATAATCACAGCTCAACACAGCCTTGACATCCTGGTCTCAGGCAATCCTTCTGCCTCAGCCTCCTGAGTAGCTGGGATTACAGGCATGCACCATCTAGCTAATTTTTAAAATTTTTTGTAGAGATGAGGTCTTGCTCTGTTGCCCAGGCTAGTCTCAAGCTCCTGGGCTCAAGGGATTCGCTCATTAAATTGAAGCAAATCGCTTAATTGGTCGGGCAAAGTTTCTCAGTTTTTGAATCTAACAGGCATATTATATTAGAATGAAATTTAGAAAAATCTTTTATTAATCCATCAAATTCTTATGTTATTTAGTTTTCATTAACATTGGAACATGGGAAGTATTTTGCTGCTAAAAATAAAAACTATAAAAATAAAAAAGAAACAGTCACTAATCTCAGAGTATTGTTTCAGGGCAAATGCTCCAATTAACTATTAGAAGCAAATTAGAGGAAATGGTGTATGCCCCTCTGCAGAAATAGAAAATAGTTTTCTGATAAACTTCTCTTACTTTTCCTAAGTATATATACACTTGAGTAATGTGTGTAATATATATAATATTTATATAATCATCAACCGTGCTAGGTAAAATATTCTTTGATTTAAGAAAAATCTTTTTTTTTTTTTCTTGAAAGACAGTTTCACTGTGTTGCTCAAGCCAATATCAAACTTCTGGTCTCAAGCAATTCTTCTGCTGCCTTGGTCTCTCAGTGCTCTGGGATTACAGGCATCAGCTGCCATGTCTAGCCAAAATCATGGATGTGGATCAATATGACCTCACAGTGCCTAGCACTTTCATGCACATAGCAGTCTTTTAAAAAACATTTGTCAATTAAGTATATAAATACATGGTTGAATAGTGAATAGTTTACTTAGATAATTTATCAAGAATATTATGTTCTGGCCGGGCTAGGTGGCTCAGCCTGTAATCTCGCGCTTTGGGAGGCCGAGGTGAGTAGATTGTCGGAGCCCGTGGGTTCAAGACCCACCTGGCCAACTTGGAGAGACCTCATATCTACAATAAATAAAAAAAAATTAGCCGGGCATGGTAGTGCCTGCCTGTAGTTCCAGCTACTTGGAAGGCTGAGGCGGGTCGAGGCTGTGGTGATTGGAAGCGTGCCACTGCACTCCAGTCTGGGCAACAGAGTGAGACTCCAACTCAAAAAAAAAGGAATACTATGTTCTAATAAATGTGTTAATCCAAAATTGAATATTGGAACTTAGAGTATTATAGGAGATAGGAGGTGATGACCACTTATGTACCTAACACTGAATTGTACACCACGTCTTTGACATGAAAATAATAATTAAAAATTTAAAAAAGATATAAGAGATAGAATTCTGAAATAGAAAAGGGAAGGCCAGAAACAATAGATGGATGCCCAAGACTGAGGGAAAAGCAAAATGTTCTGGGCCAGGTTGCCAGGTTAATAACCAATGTTGAGGTAAACCAACTGTGCTATTAATTGCTTAAAATCAGTCAACTTTAACCTCTCTTAATTAAAACATCAAGCCATCATTAAAAATGGGAACCTTTGTTTGCTTCAGCTAGTGTCTAAATCATAAAATTGCTGGACAATTAGAAACAGCTTAAGGCCAGCAGAAACCATCCTATAAAACGTGTCCACGTCTCTGCCATTGCATTTGAAAAAAATCTATTCATTCTTCCTTTCTCTTTTTGGAGCTTTCTGACTCTGTGATCTTGCTGCCTCATTTCTTGTATCCCCTCTTTGCCATCTGGATTGACATCACCTTGCTTTTGGTGGTTTTATCCCTAGAATGGAGAATAGACCAGCCATGTCTCCAAGTCAGCTTCTCCTGTTGGAGCCCCATTTACTGTCAGGGGATGTCCCAGTAGCAGAACTCTCATATGTTATGCATTTAATTTTAAAAACATGAACCAAAACCTTAAGTAAATTATACTTGAAGGACACATATGAGGGATGTCAAAGAAGGCAAGAGACAGAGATCTGGGTCAAAAGCCAGGAATGTTGACACAGGCAAATTCTGAGAGCGACTCATGGTCACTGAGGAATGCTTTCACACCAATGCAAAATGCATTATCAGTCTGTTAAACTTTCTAGCAGGTAGGCTTATTGTCATTTTAGAATGCTGCACATTTATTTTCTTTTTCTTTTCTTTTCTTTTTTTTTTTTTTTTGAGAAAGTGAGATTTATTGAGAGGACAGAAAAGCTCCCACAGTGGGAGGGGACCCAAGATGCCCATTTATTTTCAATGAATAGATTTTTTTTATAAGTGCAGAATTGCTTGATTTCCAAAGTGATAATACTGTTTATTTCAGTTCTTTCATATGAATTTACCACATTCATTACACAGAGAAATAAACTCAACAGCTGTTTATAGAGCATGTACAGCACTGTGAGTTCTGGATATATCAAGGAGACAAACACAAGAACATGGGCCTTTAAACACAATCCCTTGGGTTTTATAATAGCTGACTACAGAATGTTCTAGAGCAGGCATATCCAACCTGAAGTCTGTGGATCGCATGTGGCCAGGACAGCTAGCAATGTAAGGCCATAAAATCTTTTTTAACATCTTGTGTTTTTTAGCTTTTATTTTCTTTGTGACACTGTGCCTCATTCCATTTTTGAAGTTCACAATCATGCCTTATTCATGACATCATTTTTTGACAGCATATGCATTGTGAACAGCTGTTTTCAGTTATGAAGCACATGGAGGTAAAATTTGAACAGACATTTCTGACGAGCACCTTGAGAACTCACTAAGAATTGCAACCACTTCCATCAAACCAGAGACTGATAGATTAGTTTTACAAAAGCAAGGTCAAATTTCCCACTAGTTTTATACTGATTTCATTTTTAAAAAAATTATAATAAAGGTATTTAAAAAGAATTATTATGTACATACACTAACTATATTATATAATTTATGTGCAGCCCAAGACAATTCCTCTTTACTTGATGTGGCCCAGGGAAGCCGAAAGGGTAGACACCCCTAGTCCAGAGAATTCCCAAGGGAGTACCTGTCCAGTCATGATCTGTCAGAGTCTCAAAGAAGCCAACTTTGAGCTGAGACTTTAACAACAAATAGTCTTTGGCCAAACTCAGAGAGGTTGAAAACAGCACTCTAAGCAGAAGGAACAGTATGTGCAAAAACAAAAACAAAATATATCCCTTTCTATAGACCTAGTTAATCACACAGTGCCTGTAACAAAAGCGTCCATGTGTGGTCTATGATTGCATCTCTGTTTTCTCTTGCAGGTTGGGATTGAGTTTCAACAGCATTTCCACTGTCGACAATGGCTCTCTGGCCAACATACCTCATTTGAGGGAACTTCACTTGGACAACAACAAGCTTATCAGAGTACCTGGAGGGCTGGCAGAACATAAGTACATCCAGGTAATGCAAAGTCTCCGCTACTGTGGGGAATATCTAAGAGGAGTCCTCCCCACAGGAAGCTCTGCTTAGAAACCTTTTTTTTTTTTTTTGCAGAGTGTCTTAGCTAGAATCGCAGTAACCAAGTACCTTAAAGTGGTGACTTAAACCACTGACATTTACTACTGGAAGTCTGAGATTAGGGTATCAGACTGGTTGGGTTCTGGTGAGGGTGCAGACAGCCAACTTCTCATTTTATCCTCACATGGCAGAAAGAGAGTTGCTGAATATCGGGTCTCTTCTTATAAGAGCACTAATCCCATTTATGAGAGCTCAACCCCATGACCCAATTACATCCCCCAAAGTCCCTTTTCCAAATACCACTACATTGCGATTAGAGTTTCAATATTTGAATCTGGGGGAAATAAAAATCTTCAGTCTATTGCTCAGAGAGCTATTTTTAATGTTCCATGTAAATATTTATTCTGCTTGTATAAAAGACATAGGTTTAAATTATTAATTTTTAAAATTAGTATTGTTGTTTTGAACTTACTATAATGCTAGCTGCCAAAAAAAATAGTCTATTTTATAAAGCAGGGTAATTTCAGGACACAGATCAGTCTAACAAATAAATACTGACTGTGCAAAATATGTGATGCATTAATATGGAATGAAATCATAGTTTTAGCTTTAGCAAGTGTCATCTATTAAAAGAGAATGTTTAGCAGTATGACTGAGTTTATTTTATATAAAGTTATAGCTTTTTGTGAGAACAAAAATACATGGTTCAGTGATCCACTGTGTGATAGCGTTTTGCAGTCTGTAAATCTACAAATGAAAGGCATGCTTATTAGTTTAAATAGTGATAATAATATAACACTTTTATTGTTACATTGAAGAAAATGTTAAAAATGTGATTCAAATAATTCAATTGTTCAAAAGTTCAATAATGCGATTATTCATAGATTTTACATATTTTGTTATTTTATTGATTTCTTCAATTTTTAAATAAATGTCATACTTAAATTTTGTTTTGGAAATTTACATAGGTATTTAGCTTCACTATGGTAACTCAGAAACAATATTTTGAAACTCATAGGTGAAATTGTTACATAAAGTTGCTCTTTTGGTAATCTAGTATCTAAACTTTGGTGGTATTGGAGGTAAGTTTATCTTTCACTCTGTTGCCAATAATGTCAATAAATGGGTAATTCTTTTGTTGTTGAGTTGTGATATAAACTCTAAACTGAATTGAAGTGCATAATTTATATTAGCTAGATTTCAATGAAGTGTGTGATTTATAAGCATAAAGATGAAACTTAAAGTCTTTTGTAATGTTGACTATTTTTAGTGGGGTCTTTGGTGGTGGTGGTGGTAGATTGGTGAGTTAGGAAGAGTTTGAAGTCACAAGCATAATTAGGATGCTTAGAAGACTTAATAAGACTAACAATGTTTTTATTAGGAAGGATTTTGCTACTAGTGGGTTGTTTTGAGTTTTGTTTTTATATTCTGGAATAATCATTTTTACCTTCTTGAGTGCTGTTTTTTGGATATCAGGTATTTTAGGAACGATTGAGTGTGTAAAATCAGTTTAATGGATTCATTAGGAAACATTAAAGAAAGAAACAAATGAATAGAATAGGGTAGATTTGGATAGTTACCTAATGATAAGTACTTCATTAAACTTTTGTTTCATATGCACAGGTGCATATACACTAAACCTCAATATATAATGTGTCTTTTTATTGTGTGTCACAGAGAAGAGTTACAACACATGCTGTTTTGGAATCTGTGTTGAATATAAGCAAATCTCATGGACATCTGCAAAATGTCACACTCATATTGGAAGGGCCACATGCTTGGTTTTCCATCTCTAGTCAGCTGTCCACGTGCCCATTAATTCCATTCCTACAGGCTCCTAAGGATTTTACCTACTCAAGTACATAATTTAATTTGTGTAAAAGAAAGCATAGATTCCAAGCTCATTCTGTGAGCAAAAATTATGTAATTGTTCAGTGATCACCAAAATTCAGTTTTAATGCATTTCTATTATCCCCCACATAGTCCTTTTGTGTATTTCTAGTCAAATTTTAATCTCATCCGCAGTCACGGAGAATCATTAATCTATTTTATCATTTTTGGTTCATTTTATAGATGATAGTTTTGATGTTAAGCCTAAGAATACTTTATCTAACTTCTAACATTTTATAATTTTAACTCATATTTGAGTCTATAATCCAGTTGTGAGATAATCTTAGTATATGATGTGAGGTAAGAGTCTCATTCATTTTTTTTGTATGTGGACGGCCAATTGTCCCAATGCCATTGCTGCAAAGACTATACATTTTTGTTGAAAATCTCTTGGTCATAAACACAAGGACTTATTTCTAGGCTTTTAATTCTGTTACATTATCTATATGTTTATCTGTATGACAGTATTATACCTTTTGATTGCTATAGTTTTTTATTAAGTTTTGTAACTGGGAAGTGTAGGTTCTCCAACATTTTTCTTCTTTTTCTGAATTGTTTTGGCTACTCTATCTTCTTTGCATTCCATATAAATTTTAAGCTCAGCTTGTTTATTTCTGCAAAAATATTTTTCTAGGACTTCAGGAAGGATTGTATTGAATCTGAAGACCAATTTGGGGAGCAATACCATCTTAATAATATTTGATCTTTCATTTTACAAACAGGATTATCTCTCTATTTATATATTTTAAAATTATTCTCAAAAATTTCTTGTCATTTTGGCATTCACATCTTGCAACTTTTTTACTAAATTGATTTCTCCATTTTTCATTATTTTTTATGCTGTTTTGAATTAGTTGTTATTTAATTTTTTTGTTGGTTGCTAATATATAAAATTCAATTGATGTCTGTATATTTTGCTATCCTTGTATCACGTTAATTTTTTTAGTTGTAATTTTGGTAAATTCCTTTGGATATCTCATATTTAAGGATCATGTCATTTGTGAATAAAATAGTTTTAGTTATTCTTTTCTAATCTGAATTATTTTAATTTTTTTCTCATTGTACGGGCTGGAATCTCTAGTGCAATGTTGAATAGAAGTCAAGAAGTTACACATCTTTGTTTTATTTGATGTTTTAGGAGGAGGGAACAATTTCATTTTTTACCATTAAGTATTATGTCAGTTATGGGTCTTTGTAGGTGTTGATTGCCAAGTTGAGGACATTCTCTTCTATTTCTTGTTATTTTTATTGTGAATGTTGTTTTTCACATGGTTTTTGTATGTCTGATGAGATAATCTTGTGTTTTTGTTCTGCATTATTTCAATGTGATACATAACATTAATTGATTTTCTGTTGTTAAACCAATTTTATATCTCTACTATGCATCATGTTTGGTCATAGTGTATAATCCTTTTGCAGGTTGTGAGATATAGCTTCCTAACAGTTTGTTATATTTTTTGTCGATATTCATAAGAGATATTTGATTATAGTTTTTTTGTGATAATCTTTTATCTGGCTTTGGTATTAGAAAAGAATAACTTCATGAAACAAACTTGGAATCTATGTTTCTTTCTTTTACACAGATTAATACTTGCTTTATATCTTTAAATTTCTTTTCTTGCTTTGAATATAAACCATAAATACTCACCAAACATACCTCCCTTTTCTTGTTAATCACTGCTGGAAAATAGAGGATGGTAAATGACAACAAGACATTTTCAAAATCTGAGAAACATAAAACATACTTATAAATATTTCTTTGACTTTAACATCATTTGTTTTTGTTTTTACATGACATCTACTAGTCTCCTTTTAAATCCTTTCATAAACAAGTTCCTTTTCACCAACATCTGGTGCGTGTCCTGACTGTAGAGCAATATTTCATGTCATTTTTTTAAAAAAGGATCACCTTATAGGCTTTACAGTTCATATTAGACACTGTTACCTTTGTATTATTTTCTAGTCTTTGTTGTATGATCTTGAATGAGACTCTTCCTGATCTTCAGAACTCACATCTACTAAGTAGAGATATAAAATCATTTCTGATATTTAATGATCCCAAGAAAATCTATTAACAAATAACCATTATCTTAGACATGATTATAAGACATATTTCAGAACAAAATCCTAATGAATTAAAGCACTATATTCATAGAGTATAATTTGTAACATAGATTAAATACAGTTTTGTTGAAACTTTCTAGGTCTATTTTCTTCAAATGTCATGTCACTTAAGTATGTTTTAAAGTTTGTGATTCTTTATCTGCATTCCAGTATTGTGTGTTCCCTTTTACTTTTTCAATGTCCCGCACTTCTATATTTTATATAATTTTGCTAAAAAGGTCTGTCAGTTTATTCTTGCCCTGAAAACATAATATTTTATGTAGACCTATACAGTTCATGTAGAAATCATATGTGAAATAACATATATTCATTCAACACATTAGTGAACACCACCTTTGTTCTAGTAGGCACTGGAGATATAGCCATGAACAAACAGAATAGGTTCCTGCCTCATGGAGCTTTTACTCTTGAGGAGGAAAACAAATAAAAGCAAATAAATATATAATATGCCACAGATTGATAGTGCTATAAAAATACAAAATATAATTTTATTATCCCCAGAGAATAGCAGAATGGGGTGGTCAGGGAAGGCCTCGCTGGTAATAAAACAATGAATGACATGAGGCAGTAAGCCTTGCAGACACTTGGAAGAAGATTATTTCAGGGACCATGCTTTGTGTGTTAAAAGAGCAGCAAGTGGACACGGATGCTTTACTTGAACAGTGAGGGAAGTTGAGGTCTGAGTACAAGGATGACAGATCATAAGGGGCTTGTGGACCATTGCTAGAACTTTGGATTTTATTCTGCATGAGACAGATACCACGGGAATGCTGAGGAAAATAATGGGTAATTTGGATTATTTTTTAGGAAAATTGCTCTGAGAGCTAGTAAAAAAGAATGTAGGAAGGCAAATGAGGAAGCAGGAAGAACAATCAGGGAAATTGCAATCATCCAGAAAGAGACATTGGTGACTTGGGCAAGGTTGTAGGAAACATGGGCAGAAGAACCGGATCATGTGCATATTTTGAAGTTTGAACTAGCAGTATTATTTGAAGGTTGAGTAGAGAGGATAAGAGAAAAGAGAACAGAGGCTCAAGCATAATGGCAATGTTTCCATCCTGAGCATTTGAAATAATTGACATGCAACTTACTGAAATGGGAAAGACCAAGGAAGGGCAAAGTAAGCTTAGAAAAGAGGGGAGATATCAAAAGCTTGGTCTAAGAAATATGTATTCCAACTGAAGGATAAAGATGTTAAAAAGAATAATGTATTTAACTGAAGGGCCTCAACATATGGAGGAAAAAGTAATTTTTGTCCATTGTTTCATGTTGCAGGTTGTCTACCTTCATAACAACAATATCTCTGCAGTTGGATCAAATGACTTCTGCCCACCTGGGTACAACACCAAAAAGGCTTCGTATTCGGGTGTGAGTCTCTTTAGCAACCCGGTGCAGTACTGGGAGATCCAACCCTCTACCTTCCGATGTGTCTATGTGCGCTCTGCCATTCAGCTCGGAAACTATAAGTAATTCTCAAGAAAGCCCTCATTTTTATAACCTGGCAAAATCTCGTTAATGTCATTGCTAAAAATAAATAAATAAATAAAAGCTAGATACTGGAAACCTAACTGCAATGTGGATTTTTACCCACATGACTTATTATGCATAAAGCCAAACTTCCAGTCTAAATAATTGCCTACAATAAAGAAAGCATTTTGCCTGCCATGTTCAGAATTCTTTTTTAAATCTTTCTGTTGATGTTAGCTGAGCTACTAGAGATGTTCTTATTTCACAAAATGTAAAATTTGGAGTAAAAATATATGTCACCTTTAGTAAAGCTTTTCTTTTTGTCAGTTCCAGAAAAAATAATCAAATAAAAAGAGTACCAGTCTTCTGTAATTCATTGAGCAGTTAGCTCCTTTGCCGTAAACACTAGCTCTGTATTAATTCCCATTATTACTGGTAAAGCCTCATTTGAATGTGTGAATTCAATACAGGCTATGTAAAATTTTTACTAATGTCATTATTTTGAAAAAATAAATTAAAAAATACATTCAAAACTTACTATTGTACAAAAGTTTAATTATAAATATGCCCTAAACTTAATTTTGTAAAGAGAGTAACACGTTGCTTTGCTGACAATAATGGCACACATTTTCAAGTTCTCAGGCACTTTTTCCACACCTGCCTTTAAAAAAATTCAATAACTTTGGGGGGTACAATTAGTTTTTGGTTATGTGGATGCAGTCTGGGCTTTAAGTGTACCCACCACCCTCACCTGTGCACGTTGTACCTGATAAGTGATTTTTTCATCCTTTTTCCACCCTCTCCTTTCTGAGTCTCCAATGTCCATTATACTGCCAATGTCCTATATACCTTTGCAGTTCCTGAATTTAGCTCCCACTTGTAAGTGAGAACATGTGGTGTTTGGTTTTCTGTTCTTGCATTACTTTACTTAAGAGGATGAATCTTCAATTCCAACCAAAATTGTGCAAAACACTATCCAGCCACCCTTGTCTTTTAGCATGGTAGCCTACATTGTCTACATTCAAGATCAAGCTTATAGCACACACACAAGAATCCTTTTTTATTGGTCTAGAGAACTAATATTTCAAGTTACTAATTAAATAAATGCTCAAACTCTCATGTGTATCTCATATAATCAGGCTGCTCGATAAGCATTTCTACAATTACTATATGTATTAGAAATACTTATTGTCTGTAGTGAAATCATCAATTTTAGAATTTTCTTCTGTAGAATTTAGAAACATCTCTCAAAGCAGACAATTTAACAAGCTGGGGAATGGGCTGATGTATTTAGAGTAAATATTTGCTGAATTGTACATTCATGCTATCAACATCTAATAAGCAAAAGTGTGCAATTTGTTTCTTCTATGAACCTGAATGTTGGATGGTCGCAAATCCTAAAAATTCAAATCCAAACTGTTTTAAACTAAAAAGGGGAATAAAAATAAGTCCTGCTATGAAATGAGCCTTCAGGTACAGTTTGATCAGAGCTCTGAGTTTCTCTGCATTTCTTTCCATTTTTCCTTTCTTCATTTCATTTTCTCACTGGCCTTCCTCATAGTTACAAAATCTGAGTCTCATCTGTTATTTAATCCATTTAGAACACAAAAGCATATTATCTCAATATGTTTAGAAATAGCCATGAGATTCTCTCTACTTATTACACACCAACTCCACAACCCTATAGCGTACATATTAGTGTTCCTATTTTACAGAGAAGTAAACAGAAATTATCAGAAATTAAGTAGCTTTCTAATAGTCGAATACCTGATAAATATCTGGTACCAGAGTTTTCTCCTTTAATCTGTACACAATTGAGGTGTGGTAGAAAACAACATTTATTCCAGAGGAGTAACATGAAGGTGATTTAATGAAGAAACTTTATAGAGTGTACCCAGAGTTAACTGGCTAAACAAAGGATGGGGAGGAACTCAGAGATGGGCAGTAGGGAGGAGTCATTCCCACTCATATGGCCAAACCAACAGCAAAGGAAGATGGGTTTCTGAGGCCAAGTGCAAAGTCAACTACAGAGGATTTCTATCCCCAGAGGGTTATAACCTTGGAGGAGATTCACCTTCGACATAGATGAAGCTCTGAAGCAGGGCATCTAATTTGTCTCACTTCAGAGTCCCTGTGAGTGTCTCTCACTGATCAATCCCAATAAGAAGACAGCCAGCAAAGAAGCCAGGGTGAATGAAGGGCAGGGCAGAGAGGGAGGTAAAGTGAATCTGAGCAAGATGCATGGAGAATAATTCACCCTGCCATAATAATTATAACTGTAGGACTATTGAATGAATTCACCAGCCACAGATAAGCATGAGCTCCACATCACACATTGTACAATTTTCTGAGCTCCATTTATAGGCTTTCATAGATTTTCTGCATTGATCAGAGGTTCAAATAAATAAAACATATTTGATGAAATTTTATCAAATGGCTAACTGAATCTGGTTTTCCTTTCTGAAACACCAGGCTATTTTGATGATGATGATTTAAGCAGAGTTCACTTACTTAAATATTTCAGTGTTAAAAAATCAAAATATAAATAGAAAACATATATATTGTCAATACTAATGAACAGCCAATTATAGATTATCTGTAAATTTAACAGAAAATAGAAATGTTTGAATAATCATGAGAATTGTGACAGAGTATCGAACGCTAAGCTGTTGCAGTTAAAGTCATATTTGTTACTGCCTGAAATATACAAAGCCTTTTGATGAACTACCTACTTACATGTTGGGCATTCATGAAGTGATCACATTAGTAATATCTACTCATAGTCTAATATAAGGCAATAACTGGAAGGGAATATTTATTGACAACATATCTATTTCATTTATTCAATAACTAGCATTAAATATGTTGTAGACTCAAGATAACCCTTAGTTAAAAAGTTGAACATAACAGCAATAACAAGTTTGTATTTCTGGAGTTTATTAAGAGTGTACAAATTTCCAATTTTCATGCTAGGCTCTTTTTAAACAGTGTCTTTAATTTTCATAAAAATCTCATAAGAATGTATTATACCCATTTCACAGATGAAGAAATTGAGATATAGTAAATGCATATTAAGGTTTATAATCTCGATGTGTGCTGATCCAGATGTCAGGAGGTCAGCCTTTGTTTTTGCAATAGTTAATACAATTCATGATAAGTTGACACTAAGGCAGTAGTCTTAGGAACAACAAAAGGATCTATTCATGGTTCTTAACAGTTCCTCTGCATGTGGTAATAGGGTAGAAACTTGACGTGCAGGTGCCATGAGGATAATAACTATCATTTATTGGATAATATGCCTTAATTATATATATACACTATCTTTTTTAATATTTACAATAGCTCTGCGGTCTATGTGTGGTTGTTTAGTATCCCTCTTACAGACGAAGATAAATAGAGCTTCAGAAAGATCAAGTAATTTGCCTGTGGACACACAGCTTGGATGAAAAAAAAAGGCACATTTTTCATCACTTCAATGTGTTCAGCCTTCAGCTACTATGGAAAAGAATGTACTCATGTCCAACAATCAAGAATCACTGAACACCCAAAACATCACTTACCTTCTTTACAATGTTGTGCTGAGCTCTAAAAACATGGGTGAGCTCACAGATGGAATTACCATTCCAAATGGGGTGACTTTGTTCATAAAAAATGAAAATATTCGACAACACTGTTCAGTCTTGAAAATATTCTATATCAGTACTACCCAGTCATGGGGTTACTTGCCCCATGTGGCTACAGAGCCCTGGGAATATCCTACTGCCATTGAATTCTACTTGATAGTAGTAAACTTAGATTTAAATAGCCCCGTGAAACTAGTTCATTATTGGACAGGACACTCCCAGTGAGCTTAACTGTGACTTTCATAGTACAGAGTGGGTCTTCAGTGGTGCAAAAATATTTACTAAGCCTGTGTTGGATACTGGAGATATAAAAATAAATAAAATGTCATCCTTGATTTTAAGATGATCATAGTTTAATCGAAGAAACAGTAATTGAAATAAACACATTTTAATAATGGATTAAATATTTGAGATACAGCAATCCATTGAAATATGGCAAGATAAATTTTAACATAGGAATATATGCGAGTTACATCAGTGGCTCAGAGTAGAGGTGATCAATTCTGCCATCAGTAGCAGAATGAGTGCAGAGGAACATGGGACTTCACTGAGGAGGCAACAGTTGAGGTGGGTTTTGATAGACACATAAGAGTTCAACAGGAAGATTTGATGGGGAGATGCTATTCAAAGCAGAGATTACGTTTAAAGAGGTGTACCTGAAGCCTCTGATAGGTGGACATAAAAGAGGCTTACTCAAATTCTTTTCCTTCTTCTGAAGCAGAGACAGTCGTTTTCAATTACATTTGACGTGTACAAGGTTAATGATAACAGTGGGGAAAGCTACACTTTCCCCTATTTCCACAGTCCTGCAGGACCATAAGATGTGAATTTCCTCTCCCGATAGATCCCACTGTCATAATTATGTGTAAAGAGGCGTTTTTTGCTGGAGGATGTTCAGGTGCTCAAGGTCCACGGCTATCACTGAATATCTTTTTTCATATCTAGACCTGAAATGGTGCATCCTTGTTTCTGCTGTTGCCTTGAATGATGCGCTTTCCTCTCTGTTGTAGCCTTGAATGACAGACCCTCCTGTCTGTTGTAACCTTGAATGCTACGCCCTCCATGTTGCACCCTTCCTTTTATGGGGGAAAGCCTGTTTGTAGCCTGCTGATTAACCAACAACTGGGATGAGGAGCAGCTAGAGAGCCTCCAACACACTTTTTCCAGCAGTCAAGCTATTTCCAGTTTTGTTCAATATTAGAAGGAGAGAGAGAGAGACATGATTCCTCAGGACCCCTCTCTCAAATATCAACACAACTTCCCGGCTGTAATACATGTTTCATTTGAAATAAACATAAATATAGCTCATTTCCTTGGCTTCAACACTTACTACTTGCTTAATTAAGGGAAGTTACTTAACCTATCTGTGACTCATTTCCTTGTCTGCAAAATGGAGATATTAACCGTCCACATCTTACAGGTTGGTGTGTATATTATATCAATTAACATGTGGTATAACTCTTAGATCAGAACAGAGTCCAAGGAAAGGGATCAAATTTGTTGTTCTATTGCTGTTGCTATTCCAGGTACATAGTAGTACTAGAAGCATCTCTAGGGAAATTCTCACATGTAGGGTCTGAGATTCTGCATTTCAAAGAAGCTTCCAGAAAGGCTGTTGTTCCTCGGTTCATACTTTGAAAAATAAGGCAGCAGAGAATCCTCTCTTCTCCTATTGTATCTTGTCTTCCTCTGTCTCTTGTTCATTGGCCCCTGTAAGAAACCCCCACCATATTCATTTTCTAGAGTTTCTCTAACAAAGTGTCACAGATTGAGTGGTTTAAAACAACAGAAATGTATTCTTTCAAAGTTTTGGAGGCCACTTCCTGGATCTTGACATATCATGAATTGTATAATTGAAGTTCAAAATCAAGACCTCAGCAGAGCCGCGACCTTCCAAAGCGAGGACACTT